GCACTGGCTCCCCCTCCCCTCCCTCGGCGCCTCCCTTTCCGCTCGGGCCTGAGCCCCACTGCCAGACGGGAGCATCGCGGCATCCTCCAGAACACAGAGCGGGAGGCTGCCCCTTGCTCCTCTTGAGCTTTTCTGTCCTGGGTCCTGCTCCCTGAACTCAAGGTTCCTGTTCCTGGTGAAGGCTGTGTGTGTGCATGTGTGTGGAGGGGTGTGTGTGGGGAGGAGAGTGTGTGTGCACGTGTGTGGAGGGGTGTGTGCGCACATATGTGGAGGAGTGTGTGCGCGTGCATGTGCACGCGTGTGGGTGTGTGCAGAAGCGTGTGTGCATGTGGGTGGAGGAGAGTGTTTGCACGTGTGTGTGTGTAAGCATGTGGGTGTGTAAGCACGTGTGTGTGTGTGCAGGGGTGTGCACATGTGTGTGGAAAAGAGTGTGTGTGCTGCAGAGAGGCAGCAGGTTTGGGCTGTGACACGTGTCGACTGACGAGCTCCGAAGAGTCTTTCTTCATTTTGCATGTGGCTTTGGGTGGCTGTTGCAGGGCGCATCTGGGCATAACCTTACGGGGCCCAAGGGGTGAACTGACACAAATGCCTGTAGCAGATCTGAGCCCCAGCCCGGCGTGCTGGACAAGCGGCCAGCGGTGGGAACCCAGCGGGGCCCTGGCTGCTGTCCCAAGAGTTACCGGCTCTGTCATGTTACTGGATTTTAGGGGAGCAGCCAGCTACTGTTGCCCCCACGGGCGGGTGTTTGCCCCAAGAGTTGATACGAAGGGGCCATGTGAGGTGTCAAACGAAAGCTTCCCTTCTACTGGTTCAGTACGTGCCATTCCTGTACTTGTATAATGTCTATGTGTGAAGTTATGAACATGGACTCTGTGTTAATACTGGAAACGTCTCGGTTCGTGGCTGAGCAATGGGTGAGCAATGCTCAGCCAATGGATAAGCTAATGAGCAAGACTCCAGGGACAATGATCTCCGAGTGTCAGAGACACACCTCAGGAATGGGACTGATACCTAGGGGCTACCAGCAGGGAACACAGGGATAGGCCGCTGACCAGGTGACCTGCTGCAGCCAAGGAGAGGCCATAGGGGGTATAGAAGTGCCACGTGGCAGCCTCCATTTTCGTCTTCAGCTCAGCTCTTGAACCTAGAGGCAGCCTTGCAAGGAACCGCGAGCCAGAAAGAACTGTGGACCCATCCTGACATAGGATGTGCACCAAAGATTTTTAAGTCAGCAGCTGTAACATCTCTGCTAGAGCCTGTGTCGAGAACTGGCAGACTCGCTGCATGTAACATACGATACATTAACAGCCTCACTTTCCTGCTTTTCTTTCTCTTAGTAATAACCCTTTAGATTCTGAAGGATCGGCTCAGCGTGATTTGTGGGTAAGGTCTAGGGTGTCAATTGATCGGGACTTGTGGCTGGTTTCTTGGGACTGGAAGAACCCGTTGGGGTGGGTGAGATTGGGCCCTATAACCCCTCACCCGTGTGTTCGGCCCGGGGCGGATTGGGGCGCAGAGAGAGCTGGGGTGTCAGAGGGTTTTGCTCGTGAGGCTTCTGGCTGGCCGAGCAGGCGGCTGGAGCACTCGATGGGACTGGTTTGTGGCCTAGTTGGGAAGGTCTTCAGTCTGGGGCTGTGAGGAGCCCCGAATTTGAGCAATTCGCCCTGAGCGGCGCCCTCAGCTGAGCCCAGACCCAGCCCGGCCCGTCACAAGCTCTGACTAGCTCCTTACGCCCCGTCTGACTGTATCCACCTCCCTGCTCGGCCTGTCCCTGCCGGACTGAGCCCCCAGGCCGGACGCCCGGACTCAGCTCCACCCGTGCCCTGTCCTCGCTGTGCTAAAGCGACAGGGCCCTGAAGTTCCCCCCGAGGGCAGGTTTTCCAGGCTCTTCTCTGACCCCTCCCATGCCTGGGCTCTCTGGGAAGGGGGGGCTCTGGGAGCTGTGAGGCGGGGGCGGGG